CACCCCACCCACCCACCCCCGTGAGGATGGCCATGAGTTCTTCCATACATGCCTCTAAATTTAACCATGGCTTCCATTGCCTTTTAGATTTCAACCTTGCAGTCAAACACACTCATTCGGAAAGTGAAGCGGACCCTGCCTAGCCCCCCACCAGAAGAAGCTCAGCTTCCTCTGACCAGCCAAGCTCACTCACAGATGTACATGCCTGGCCTCCTGCCAAAGGGTATGGGCGGGCAGCCCATCCAAGTGACCAAAGCCAGCCTCCTCAGAGAGCTCGACCGGGACTTGAGGCTGGTGGAGCATGAATCCACTAAACTGAGGAAGAAACAAGCGGAGCTGGATGAAGAAGAGAAAGAGATTGATGCCAAGCTGAAGTACCTGGAACTGGGGATCAATCAGAGAAAGGAATCTTTGCTGAAGGATCGGAATGCTCGTGATTATCCATATTTGAGATGCCTGGGAGAAAATCGAGATTATATGTCCGACAGCGAACTAAATAACCTTCGCCTCTCCGGCTATGAGAGTGGCAGTCTCCTGACAAGGCCCAGCACCACCCCTTCTAACCAGTATACAGAATTTTCCAGCACCCAGTATACTTCAGCAACTTCCTACGCCCCGTACCAGTACTCCTCAGTTCAGACCGCTGCACCAGGACCAGCTGCATTCCAGCAAACAAGATTTCAGCCTCCATACTACCCTCCAACAAGTAGCGGTCCTGCTCAAAATGACTTCCAGCCAAGCCAGATGCCTGCTTACCCTTCCCAAACTACATACCAGGCACATAGCTTCACTCCAAGCACCGGGTATCAGTCTGAACTGGGCCTACAGAGCCATCAAGGCTTCTGCTCACCTTACCAAGCTCAGACCGCCTATCCCAGTCAGACACCCTTGCAGCCTGCCCAGAGCGTGCTTTTTCAGACTCATGCAGACACCCATACAACCTCCCAGAAGCCACGGCAGACCTCGCTGGCTGACTTAGAGCAGAAGATCCTGACCAATTATGAAGTCATTAGCAATCCCACCGTGGTAATCTCTGCTGCAACCCCAGAAGTGACCTACAGCACCGCAACAGTGACCAGCAGCTACGATCAACACAAGGCTCCAGAAGGGAGGCCAGCAGACAGGAGTAGTGCTGCACAAAGTCCTTCCACCAGCTATTCCTCCGACTCTCTATACACCAATCTAGAGCAAAACATCCCTCGGAACTATGTGATGATTGATGATATCAGTGAATTAACCAAAGAGAGCAGCACAGGAGAGGGTCTGAAAGGGGATTTGCCATCACACAGCACCAATGGACTGCCTATCAAAGAAAAGAGGGAGGTAGCAGATGTAGATATCTCTAGCAGGCCTTGCTGCTATTCAAAAGGAGAAGAGGAATCTGAAGAGGATGCTTATGATCATCACGGTCCTGACCACCGTGGGAAAAGTTATCCTAAAAGCACAGAGAGCAATGGGAGAGTATCAGGTAGTTCTGGCTCTTATTACTATGGAGACAGTGATTATAGGCCATTGTCTCGCCCAGATAAGCATGGAACAAGTATGGGAGTACAGAAGCACTCTTCAAAAAATCTGGCCCCTGCTGTCATCTCTTCCAAGCGCAGCAAGCACAGGAAACAAGGTATGGAGCAGAAGATCTCCAAATTCTCCCCTATAGAAGAAGCCAAAGATGTAGAATCAGATCTGGCCTCCTATACAGTGACTACATCAGTCAGTAGCAGCAGTGTAGCATCCAGAGCAAAGAAAATGCAAGATGATATCACTTATGGCCTAAAGAAAAATGTATATGAACAGCAGAAATACTATGGTGTATCCAGCAGAGATGGGATGGAAGAAGATGACAGAGCTTATAGTGGTGGGCGATCAAGATCCTCTGGATATGTATCAGAAAAACTGTCAAGTCGTGAAGTTAGAAGCAGGTCTTATGAAAGAGAGAGCATAGAGAGGCCTCAGAAAGGAAGCTCAAAGCCTTCCTCCCTTAGTATGAGTCAGAGTCGCGGGCGACCTCCAATTCGCACACAAACTTCAGAAGAAGAAAGTCCTATCAGTCCTTTGGGGAAATCCATGGGTGTATCACGGTCCTCAGGTGGACCTCTTCCTCAATCTGCTGGAGACAGTTGCTCCCAGTTTTGCTCTAGTCACTCATTGCCTGATGTACAAGAACATATTAAAGATGTGCCAAGAACCCACTCTTATAAACATGACGAAGGCTACATCGTGGATGATTCACACTGTGTTGTTTCAGACAGTGAAGGTAATAACTACCTGTAGTGACTTACCTCCAAGCATGCACAAGTGAATCATATTTGCAAAGATAATGCCAGAAATTCCATTTGCTTGCCATGTGCCTTTATCCTGATTTCGCTTTCTGTTTTGGTGGTTTTATGTTAGCATGTTGCACACTGCATGTCCTAATGTTGCTCACTGCTTGTTCAGTGTGTTTCTGTGCTGAGATTTCTGTTTTTATATTTCCTGAGTGGCTGCTGTGACATATCCTGTATTCCTGTGATAAGCTTCTTTATTTCATTGCATGGCTTCAGTCAGAAATACATTCCTAGCTTTGGATCAGGAGATTCACTGTCATCTTTTTTGGTTTCTGAAGCCTACCACTTGGGCCAGGAGGAGACGGACTGGTTTGATAAACCAAGAGAACCTCGTTCAGAGAGGATGAGGCATTATGGTGGCCATTCTTCATCCTCTCAGAAGAGAGGTCCAATTAAACACACCTATCATGATTATGATGAGCCCCCAGATGAAGACTTGTGGCATCATGATGACTATTCCCACCCACGTCATTCTTCTTCCAAAGATCACAAGCATCATGGAGATTATGGGCGACATGCATCCTCCTCCCGCCACTCCAGCGATGACCTGCCCAAGAGATCATCCAGGCAACACCCAAGAGATCCAGGCCGCCATGAATCACGTGGACATGGACAGCCCACTTCCCAGAAGAAGGCTCAGCAAACAGATACGAGAACACAGCAAGGTTATCCTTCCAGCTCCTCAGAGTATCCCCAGCAGTCCCGACAGCCATCTGGCTATCATCATACCTCAGAGTCCCAAAAATCCCAGAGGCAGATGCAACATGGGCTGCCACCTCAGCAGCCAAAATCTGAGCCTCTGTCTCACCAACAGCAGCAGCAGCAAAAGCAGCAGCAGCAGCAGCAACAGCAGCAGCAGCAACAGCAACCCAGGCAGCAGCAAGCTGGGCAGCAGCAACCATCATCTAGACAGCAGCAACCACCAAGCAGACAACCTCAGCAACAGCATCAAGCAGGCCCTTCTCATCAACAGCCCCAGCAGGTTAGGATACAGCAGCAACAACCACAGCAGCAGCAGCAGCAGCAGCAGCAGCAGCAGCCACCACCGCCACCACTGGGGACCCAAGCCCAACCTTCCTTGCGGCCAGCCCAACAGCAGCCTGGTCAGCCTCAGCCAACAGGCAAACCCCAGCCAACTGCCCAAGCACAACCTAGCACTCACCAAACAGGACCAGTAAGTACCACTTCATCTTCGTTTAAGGAGAGATGGATGATCATTCCATCATCGCTACCTATCTGTCGTCTTGCCCTTCATTAAGGTGTGAATGATCTGTTCAAGAGTAGCAAAGATGTGCATTCATCTCAATATCGCGAAAAACAAATGGAACAAATATGCATTCATGGACCGCATGAATCATTCTACAGTTTAGATGAATATATTATATCCAGACAAGTCTTCTTGATGGGTGGATTGTAAGGGTTAATCATGGTTTCAGAGTCTTTGGAGAGAAGTAAAAAAAGATTAAGTGGGAAAAGCATAGAACAATTACGGGGATAGGCCAACTCACTAGGTTTTTGAAGGAGGCTTCATTTGTAGTCAAAGGTCAGGAGATGTAAGGGGCTGTGTGAATAACCTTGGGAGACAGGAGGAAGAGCTACAGTCAGGGCAACAGTCAAACAAGTGATATCTCAGCCCACAGAGGAATGAGGGTGGAGTAACTGTCTCAGAAGGGACCCT